GACAGCAGTGAGTTCTAAGATCAAGTGTTATTCTTGAAAATATTATGTTCTTAAATGTTTTTTTACCCTCACTAGATCCTCACACTTGTCCTAGGCTGTATGAGTTCACAAGGTGAGCATCTAAATGTATTGCGGACGCTGCCTCTGCTGCTCCTGGCCATCGTCATCCGTCTCCCCTCAGTTAGCATATTTTCCAAAGAGGATTTTTTCCTGTTGGCTGTTTGTTCCTCCATCAGCTCTCGATCTTGTTTGCTAAATTTTCTAAATGCTTGGTTTGATATTTTCCCTCCATTTCGCTCCTCTAAGCAGATTAAACTAAATAAAGAAATAACAGTTCATTCAAACACAAACGCATCTCGTCGTTTACGGTACGTGGTAAAATGCAACGTAGCCCACATTAAGAAAACAATGAAGATTTAATAATTAAGATCATCTTAAGAAAATATTTGAGAACTTAATTTTTTTGCAAGACGATCTTAGTCTTAAGAACCTTTGCAAGTTTTTCTGAAAGCTTTTGTGAATCCGTCCCCTGTTTGACCACCAAAGCTAAACAGCCAACCCATCAGACAAACAGCACTTAAAGCTTTCATCTCTGAGAGAGAGGAGAAAATCAAGCTGCTTCAGATCTGAAAACATCCACAGGTGTTTCTGTCCATCCTTCCACTGTGAGAAGACGACTCAGCGCTGTGGGTCTGAAAGGATGTGTAGCTGTCAAGAAGAACCTCACTGAGAAAAGGAGACGGACACATCAAACAAAGAAGCTGAACGATGGACTGACCACCCCAGAGTCCAGACCTCAACACCACTGAATGTGTTTGATTACTTCAGAAAATGATCAACCAGCTTCTAAGACTGAACTTTGGAGGTGTGTCTGCAGATTCTTTGAGGAACTGAAAGTGAGTCTCCTGGAAAGGCAAAGAGTGACACACTAAATACTGAAAAATGTGATATTTACTTGTTAAAGCTTTGAATAATTTGCTTTTAAATATATGAATTGTACTTTTTTTCCCCTGAAACTGAAAATCTATTTGCTCTTAATGGCTGTTTTGACTGGAAATTAACTAAAGAATCAAAAGCACTGCAAACAGCACCACTTTTTGTGGTCCTGGAAATCAACAGTCCTTCTACTTCAGCAACACAGGATTCTGACTGCTTAGAACAGCATTCAACAAGACACTAAGCGCCCTCTGGTGGAAGAGAAACCTTTTACAGCAGTGCAGTTTCAAGTGATGTATTATTTTAAGAGTAATATCTCTTGAGCTGCCTCAAGTATCTCAAAAGACAACAAATCAAAAAAGGCAGAAATCCCCCTAAGCAACACTACGGAGTCCACACGGAATTCCTAAAGCCCAGTAAGCTTTCATTTGCCTCGTTATCTCAGGATAAATTATAACTAACACACGTCAAAATTGGCAGAAAGAGGGAGAAACATCAGAAATGCCACAAGGGAATAAGCACCACCATTTCTGCAAGGACATCACAGCTTATAGTAAGGAACCCTGTTTATGATCTTATTTAATTAATATTCTTTTCCCAAATTGATTTTCCCTCCTGCTTTTGGTAATGGGTGCATTTTTCAAATATGCTTGTATGCATAGTTTTCCATTAAATATAGCGCTACAGTGCTGGTGCATCTGTCTATTCTAGAAAAAAAATAAATATCATATCAGCCCAAACCACAGAAACACCACTGGCCACTTTATCGGAAACACCTATCTTATATGAGCGTGCACCTGACTGTAGCCCATCTGTTGCTGAACAGTTTATCAGCCCCCTCTACCCTATCCATCAGTGGAAAAGGACCACTATAAGACCACCACCTACCAGGAGGTGGGTCATTATAAGCCCAGCTGACGCTGACAGACATGGTATTGTGTGTGGCTCTGATATGTGTGTCCCTGACATAACATATGGCCCGTCTACCAATATACACCGATCAGTCATAACATTATGACCACCTCCTTGTTTCTACACTCATTGTCCATTTTATCAGCTCCACTTACTATATAGGTGCACTTTGTAGTTCTACAGTTACAGACTGTAGTCCATCTGTTTCTCTGATACTTTGTTAGCCCCCTTTTACCCTGTTCTTCAGTGGTAAGGACCCCCATGGACCCTCACAGAGCAGGTACTATTTGGGTGGTGGATCATTCTCAGCACTGCAGTAACACTGACGTGGTGGTGGTGTGTTAGTGTGTGTTGTGCTGGTCTGAGTGGATCAGACACAGCAGTGCTGCTGGAGTTTTTAAAACCCCTCAGTGTCGCTGCTGGACTGAGAATAGTCCACCAACCAAAAATATCCAGCCAACAGCGTCCTGTGGGCAGCGTCCTGTGACCACTGATGAAGGACTAGAGGATGACCAACACAAACTGTGCAGCAACTGTGGACTGACAAGGTAGGGGTGTCTAGCAGCACTGCTGTGTCTGATCCAGTCGTACCAGCACATCAGTGTTACTGCAGTGCTGAGAATGATCCACCACCCAAATAGTACCTGCTCTGTGAGGGTCCATGGGGGTCCTGACCACTGAAAAACAGGGTAAAAGGGGGCTAACAAAGTATCAGAGAAACAGATGGACTACAGTCTGTAACTGTAGAACTACAAAGTGCACCTATATAGTAAGTGGAGCTGATAAAATGGACAATGAGTGTAGAAACAAGGAGGTGCTCAGAATGTTATGCCTGATCGGTGTATAAAGCCATCAAACAGATGACTCCCCCATTAATAGGAAAATCTGCTGATGGAAATCTAAAAAGCAGGTGAAGGCACCCTTTACTCTTCACCTTTAAAGGCCGGTAAAGAGCAGTGAAGGCTACAGCCAAGAGCTGAGACGCAAAATTACCTCCCTGCAACTGGCAATCTGTTCTTATTTTGCGTCTAATAAAACAGCGGTCATGGGTTAACACAGAACGGTTGGCCTGTCAACCAACATATAAAGTCATCAAATAGATAAATCTCCCAAATAAGCCTCGGAAGAGACGCATCAGAAACGCGAGATGCCACAAGGGAATAAGCACCATCATTTCTGCAAGGACAACACAGCTTATAGTAAGGAACCCTGTTTATTACATAAATATCAAACAAACGTAAAGGAATTCCTCCGGTCATTTTCCTCAGTCCTTTTCACACGTCAGGCAGGAAACACCATTCCGAAACAAATATTCAGATATAAAAATATAAAACGCACAAATAAACCTTGCACTACAGTTCTACGCCTCGTCACGTCCCAATAACACACGTCGCACTGATCCTGTAGCCTCAAACGGAGACAGAACAGCTTTTCCTGTTCTTGCATCATTACAGTGTTTCTATTTACTCTAGGGAGCAAACTGTGTGTAGTTACAGTACTGGAGATATTCCAGAAAACAATATAAATTATGCAAGTAGTCTAGCAAACTTAGTCATTTGATATTAGAACTGAACCTACCGACTATAGCTCTATAATGAACTTCCGTCTGAGAACTCCACCAATTTTTCCATTTTTTTGCATAAATAAATGGTTGAGACGTAAACAAAGTCATTCAGAGTGGTTTGGTGAGAAACACTCCTTTCTAGAGTCAGAACTGTTCACAGTGGTGGTGATAGGAACCAGACGTCCACCTCTAAAAGCTCCCTCACAGAAAGTTACTACATGAAACGGTTATGAATTCACTGCCTGATGACTGAGACACTGTTTTACTATAGATTTTGTCCTTAAATATATATCTATTTTTAATCTGTTCATAGGGAGAGGTACATGCAAGGTGCTGTGAGGCAAAATGGTCCTCAAATAAAACTTACTTTTACAGATTTACACCATCAACATTCCACATAAAACTCAGGAGACACGTGTGGGTTCACTGGTCATTTCAGATAATAAAATCAAATGTTTACATTTGTGCTGCTGACTCTGCAACCCCAGCGGCCGGATTCATGAAAGCTTTCTTAAGAAAAGTCTTGCGAAGGTTCTTAAGACAAACGCTGAGAAGTTCATAAGATTGGGCCTCACTGTTCTTAAGTGTGTTCTTGAGAAAGGTCCTAAGAAAAAGTCTCCGTCAGATTCATGACGTGTTCTTAAAGTGCAGAACTGTTCTCACCTTTGTGCTCTTGAGTGTGTGTAGATTCTGTTCTTACTTGAGAACAAATCCCAGATAAGAGAACATTGGTTAGTCAGAATCTTCATCAAAACTGCGTAAGTGGGTTTAAGAAGAAAATTATTCTTAAGAATAGTTCAATGTTCTTAAATGCAATTCTCAAAAAAAACTGAAGTTCTCAAATATTCTCTTATAATAATCTTAAATATTTTCTTAAGATTTTCACTACAAGTTTCATTGTTTTCTCATGTGGGCTACGATGCATTTTTACCTTGTACCATAAACAACACAAGATACATTTTAAATTTGTATTAACGGAGTGGATTAAACTAAATAACGGAACAACAGAGGAGCAAAATGGAAGAAAAACACCCAACCAAGCGTTTAAGAACTAGAGGTGATGGTGGAAAAAACAGCCAACAGGAAAAAAGTCTTCATTGGAAAATACTGATAACTGTGGGGTGACGGACGAGGATGAGGAGCAGCAGAGGCAGCGTCCGAGATAAATTTAGATGCTGACCCTGTCAACTAAAGATAAGATAAAGATAAATTTCAGAACATAATATTTTTAAAGAATAACACTTGTTCTAAGAATTACTGGTAACACTTTACTGCAGGGTACAGCTCATGAGGCTACGTGACACCCACATAAGCTTGTCATGACAACTGACATAGACCTACATAAATGTTTATGAATGCTCTTTCCAACAGACGTCAACTGTCAAAAAATGTACTTTAGCTAACTCTGATCAAAATTGGCAAATATAACCTTTACAGCAAATGATGCCTGTTGGAATAAGCAATTATTAACATTTATGTAGGTCTATGTCAGTTGTAATGACAAGCTTATGTAGGTGTCGTGTAGCCTTATGAACCCTACCCTACAGTAAAGTGTAACCAAATTATCCTTAAGAAAATAGTTAAGAAAATAATTCTTAAGATTTTTTTTGAAGAATAACACACACACATACACACAGGGAATCGAACCCAGGCACATCTTGCTGTGAGGCAACAGCGCTACCCACTGCACCACCGTGCCACCCGATTTTCTTTCTCAAGACACTTTCGTGAATCCGGCCCCTGGTTCCTATCACCGCCACTGTAAAGAAATCTGAGTCTCTACAATCAGCCATTTCACGTGAAACCACCTTGAACAACTATAACATCTCAATGACTAACCTGCAGAAATTTTGAAAAAATTGGTGGAATTCCCCTTTAAATTCCCAACAAGAGGAACTCTATCCATTAACAGATGTATAAATAAACAAAAATAACTCGACCTCACAGTGAGTCCTGCTTGTACCACCCTGACAGGTTAATGTGGTAGTTTGCAGCTGTAATTACCAAAAACGCAAAATGATTTGGAGTCTGTCTTTCGCTTAATCCCAGAGGGGAGCTGTGACTGTAACAGTAAATGTAGTGTTAATATGTTCACAACAGGAGAAGATGTGGGTTTAACACCATCTCGGTAACCCCTCAAGTGCAAAGACCCCCCATTTTTGGCCTCCACGGTCCCTCTGGAGACACCACCGCCTCCTCTCGGTATAAAAGTCGATGAACTGACTGCCGGACAGATCACACGACGTCTGAACCGCTTTAAAAGACGACACGTTTCTAAACCAAAAAGCTGAAACGCTCTATACATATGGACACTATGGACACTGAAATCATACATGTCATATACATATACACGTCCTGGGAAGGTCTGTTGCCATGGCATCCAATGGCACACGCTAGATGAGCAAAGAGGGAGTGGGCTTCTTGCCAGGCCACGCCTCCTTGGCGTATTTTTTCTTGCGAGGTTCGTTGAGCGGTTCGGCCGTGTAGGCTCCCGGGGCGGGGGTGGGATTCAATATGGCGGGGGGCTGCACCGTGGTCGGGGAGAGGTCCACCTCGGGGGCCGGGTTGGGGAAAGGAAGCGGTAGCCCACCCAGCATGGCGGAGCCTTGGGCTCCGGCCCCCTGGTTTCCTGCCTCGTGGCTGGTGGGGGGCAGGTCGCCATAAAGCCCCGAGCTGAGGGGGAAGTTCTGCATTCGCCGCGCCACACTGTCCTCCAAGCCAAGGGTGCCGTGGCTCTCCAGCTTCTTCTTCTGTGGTAGAATAGATGAGAACAGAGGGTGACTAAAGTGCTGGGTTGAATAGTTAAATGGTTAAGATGTAAACAAAGTCATTCAGAGTTGTTTGCTGGTGGTTCTAGAGTCAGAACTGTTCACAGCAGTGGTGATGGGAACCAAACGTCCACCTCTAAAAGCTCCCTCACCAAAAGTTATTACATGAAATGGTTATAAATACACTGCTTGATGTCTGAGACACTGTTCTATGATAGTTTTGTGATGCAGGTTCACTGGTGGTTTTGGACAGTAAAATCAATTATGCAGAAATTTTGAAAAATCTGTGGAATTCCCCTTTAACAGTAGTATAAAGGGTGTGAAGATGTGTTATCGCTATTGTGATTAATTACACAACAACACCCTTTTCTTAGTACAGCATGGGTATCATTAGTACTTCCAGAACGCTGAACAGCTGATTTATGTAACTGTTATTTTATTATTTTTATGATTATTTCTCCTTCCAAAATAGTTTATTTTGGCATAGTTTAATTTCTACATTTTTCAGATGTAACTGTGTGCATACAGTCATCTTTCATTCATGTCTGTTCCTGTAAAAAAAATAAAAAATATTGTGACACATATTGTATATTGTGAAAATTACTTCAAATATCATGAGGTTTATTATCATCCACTCTTGTAGTTGTAGCGACCCCGAATGACGACTGGTCAGGACAGGGCAACACCCACTGCTCCACCTCTAGCAGTCTGAAGCTGAACCATTTTGACTCTGAGCCAAAGTCCAAACCCCATTTCACCTCTCGCTCCTACCACTTAGCCCTACCCCTCTGTTTTGCATGTTCACGTCTAGGGGTAGGTTGTCCCGATTCTTGTTGAGATAGAGGGGGAGGGTGAAGTGTTGGGGCTACATGACCCTCCAAACTGAGGATTTTCAGAGACTCCAAACAGAGAGTTATGAGAAAAAAAGAAAAACCAGCAAGATGGAGAACAAGAGACCAAAGAAACCACAAATGTGAGAATTTTCTCTGTTGAAATATACAATAACCATCGTATTATCTTAGTTTAATATTGTTTCAGTGTTTTATGGTCCTTTTCTTCATAACAAGTGTAAAAAAATCACTAGAAGGATGCTGATATCTCTGTAGCTAGCTAAATTTCCCGTTCCTTAAATTGTGAGGCAGTTACATTCTGCCACCTCACCATTTAAGGTGGAACAGGAAAATTCGAACAAGAAGCTGGTGAATATCCGACTTCAGCTTCGTATCACTGAAGAATTAGGGGTGGGTGATAATAAATAACTGCCCCCCTCTTTGAAGATCATATGATGCCCTAAATGTAACTAAAGCCCAGCAGTGAGGAGCTGAACTTTACCCTCCTCTGCTGTCACTGCAGACTGGCAGGGTCGCCTACAGAGCAGCGCTGGTAGCTGTTAATGAAGTGATGCTCTTTTTATTTGAGGGTCCCATTTTAGAGGGAAGATTTCAACCAGTACCGCATATAACTCAGTTCCATGCAGCAAGGAGACACTCTAAAACAAGGGGTATGGGTAACAATAAGAAAAAGGATTGCGCCTAAATTTGACCACAGAAAGGCTATTACTGGGCCCACAGGATTTTTGACAATCCAACAAATATAGGCTGTTCTTTTTTATTTATTTATTTTTTACCTTAATTGGAACGACTGCGGTCTGCACCATGTTTCTGAAGCGTCCTACAGACGGGTCGACATCCTCTGAGAACACAGAGCATAAAAGAGAGTCATCTCGATCAGCAACACGCCAGAACACGAACAGGATGGAATTAGGAAGATCAAGAACATCTGAGGATCACGTCACAGCAGCAGCCAGACAAAATAATTAGGAACGTAACAGTGTGTGTTCAATTGTGTGTGTACCATTACATCTTGTGGCCAAACTGAGACAAGACCTTGCTACATACTATTACTATTATTATTATTATTATTATTATTACTATATTCTTAAGATAATCCTTTATTAGTCCATATTAGGGCAATTCACAGTGCTACAGCAGCAAGGCACTCAAGTAGTAACCAAAGAGAATTACTATTATATTATTCATTTATACATACTATTATTTGAATATTTTATTGCAACTGTTATTTGATGTTAATTATTTTTACTGTTATTTTCTAGTAAATAATTAGATTTTTCTAAAACTTTAGTTTTCTTATTGTTTACTATCTAAGTTGGGTCTTTTACTTCATTGTAAAGTTGTTTTTATTATATATTTTATTGATATTTTATGCCGGTTTTCTATTTGAGCTGTTTTTTTTATTATTATTTTTTATAAATCTTTCTGTCTTGATTTTCTTTTGTTTTAGTTGTTAAATTTCGTTTCAGCTTTTTCAATCCCTTGTAATCTACTCAGCACAACTGTAAATGAGGGTCACCCTCAATGTACTTCTGAGTCAAAATAAAGGTTAATTGATTGATACTGGGACACAAATAGAGTCTCAGTGGTGGAAACTAGACTGACTGCAATAAATGAAATGAGGGCATTTTTTTAATAATCTATAGAATTAATCAATTCTGTGATAGTGATTAAAATACTGAATGTTCTACCATTTATTTAGCTGTTTACGCTAAATAAATTTAGCAGTTTATTAGGTCCACCTCACTTTTTTATCAGAAACACCTACCACACAGCTCCAGTATACAGTACTGTGGAAAAAGTATTTGCCCCCTTCCCAAATTCTTCTGTTTTTGCATATTTGTTACATTTCAATGTTTCAGATCATCAAATTGCTTTTAATATACAGCTGTGAAACTAAGGCATTAAAATCTACCTGGTCTAGTCTGGAAAGGGTTATAAAGCCATTGAGGCTCTTGATCTCCAGAGGACCACAGTGAGAGACGTAATCCACAAATGGAGAAAACTTGGAACAGCGGTGACCCTTCCCAGGAGTGGCCGGCCTTTCAACATTTCACCAAGAGTGCATCGATGATTCATCCAGGAGGTCACAAAAGAACCCAGACAAACATCTAAAGAACTGCAGGCCTCACTTGCCTCAGTTAAGGTCAATGTACACAATTCCATAATAAGAAAGACACTGGGCAAAAATGGCACCCATGGGAGAGCTGTAAGGCGCAAACAACTGACCAAAACCACTGACCAAAAAGAGCACAAAGGCTCGTCTCACATTTGCCAAAAACCATCTAGACGACCCCCCAAGGCTTTTGGGATAATAGTCTGTGGACTGATGAGTCAAAGGTGGAACTGTCCGGAAGAAATAGGTCCCGTTACATCTGGCGTAAAGCTAACACCACATTCCACCATAAGAACATCACACCAACAGTGAAACATGGTGGTGGTAGTGTGGTGGTCTGAGGCCGCTTTGCTTCTGCAGGATCTGGACGACTCGTCGTAACTGATGGAACCATGAATTCTGATCTCTTTTAGGAAACCCTGAAGGAGAATGTCTGCCTGTCAGTTTGTGACCTAAAACTCAAGCGCAGTTGGGTTATGCAGCAGAACAGTGATCTGAAGCACACAAGTTCACCTCTGAATGGCTTAAAAGAAAAAAAAAAGTGGCTGATCAAAGTCCAGACCTGAATCCCTCTGAGATGCTCTGGCAAGACATTAAATGGCCAGTTCATGTCTGAAAACCCTCCAGTGCCGCCAAAGTAAAACAATTCTGCAAAGCAGGGTGGGCCAACATTCCTCCACATTGATGTAAAAGACCAAAAGTCATTGCAAATGTTTGACTGCAGTTGTTACTGCTGAGGGTGGCACCACCGGTTATCACATTTAGGGGGTCAACTACCTTTTCACATGAGTGATATCGGTTTTGAATAAATCTTTATCTTCAATAAATGGAACGATCACTTAAAAGCTGCATTTTGTCTTTACTTGTGTTGTTCTAAGTTAAAATTGGATGATCTGAAATATTTACATGACAAATTAGCAAAGATAGAAAAATCGGCTGAGGGGCAAATACTTTTTCACAGCACAGTAAATGCTATAATCTCCAGCTGCACACCTACAAGGCCGACGAGTGAGGAAGGGATTTCTAATAAAGTGGCCAGTAAGTGTACACAGTTTGTACCTGTGCTGTGCCTGAGTCAACAGTCCTCCTTCAAACTAATATCTGGTCAGTGGTGGTCTTATGGTGGTCCCTTTCCACTGCTGGACGTCTGATGACTGTGTAGATGTAACTACACCTGCAAAGTGAACCTGTATGGCAGGAGTTTCTGATAAAATGGCCAATAAGTGAATGTCCAAGAATGCATGTGTACACACACCTGGGTTAATGATCTCCTCCTTTTCGCTGAAGGACACTCGAGAGTTTCTCCTTTTCCTCTTTGGCCTCTGGATGTCCAGGTTGCCCTCCTCAATGGCGAGGGTGGAGATGCGCTTGTTGTGGGCCGTGTTGAACTCAGTCAGGTTCTGGATCGGGGAGTTAACAGAGCTGACAAAACACCACACATTTGACGGGACTCCCACAACACATCAACAAACACATCCACCCAAACTCACTCTCTTAGGCCCAGTCCCATTTCAGCCCTCACCCCTAACACTTAGCCCTTTGCGCGTTCACGTCTAGGGGTAGGGTGTCCCGATTCTTGTTGAGATAGAGGGGTAGGATGAAGTGTTAGGGCTACATGGCCCTCCAAACAGAGGATTTTCAGAGACAAAAAAAAGAAAAACTGGCAAGATGGCTGCACAAGCGACCAAAGAAACACACAAATGTAGAATTATCTCTGTAAAATAATTACAATAATCATTGAATTATCTCAGTTTAATGTCGTTTCAGTGTATTTTGGTTCTTTTCTTCATAACAAGCATAAAAATCATTAGTAGTATGATGATGTTTTTGTAGCTGAATTTCCCGTTCCACCCTAAATGGTGCAGCAATGGCACCTCAGGCGTCAGAACTGCTGCATCATTTAAGGTGGAATGGGAAAATTCGTACAAGAATCTGGTGAATATCTGACTTCAGCTTCATATCACTGAAGAATTAAGGGTGGGTGATAAAAAAATTGTCCCCCTCTTTGAAGGCATATGATGGTTGCTGAACTTTACCCTCCAATGTTCCACCTTAAATGGTGTAGCAGTTACATTCTGGAACCTCAGATGTCAGAAATGCTGCTCATTTAAGGTGGAACGGGAAAATACAAACAAGAATCTGGTGAATATCTGACCTCAGCTTCATATCACTGAAGAATTAGGCGTGGGTGATTATAAATAATTGCCCCCCTCTTTGAAGGCATATGATGCCCTAAATGTAACTAAAGCCCAGCAGTGAGGAGCTGAACTTCACCCTCCTCTGCTGTCACTGCAGACTGGCAGGGTCGCCTACAGAGCAGCGCTGATAATAAAGTAATGCTCTTTTTATTTGAGGGTCCCATTTCAGAGGGAAGATTTCAGTTCTAAAGGGGAAGGTGACACTCAAAAACAAGGGGTGGGGTAAAAATAAACGGGATTAGGCAATTTTTCTGCCTAAACATACTAGTGCAGGGCAATATGGCAAAGACACATCACAATAACCCTGAAGGCCTTTTTCAGACACAGTCAATAGCCCAAAGTTTAGTTTTAGTGAGGTTTGATAAGATGAAACAGATATAAAACAGGCAACCAGCAATTTCCCAATTAAACAGGACAATCTATGTGGTCAATAAAGATCTACGCACGATAACCTCACAACGGAGGGAAACCAAGTGGTGGACAGAGATAAATCTCTTTTTAATGAAATATGCAGCTGTTCAGTGTTTGGGGAAAACATTTCATTGTGATTTTTCAGACCAGTAATGTGACTACAGTTCAAATTGAGATTGTTTTCAATAAACTAAGGCCTGTGGGCCAAAGAGACTAGAAAAAAATCCAGGCTCGAGCACTAAATGTAAAGTCCCAGACTGCCAGTTTGTTCTGGTTGTGTGAAAACACATTATGTGGATGTTCTGCTGCTTCTGACTGGCTTCTGATTGGTCTAAGTCATCCACACACAGATCAAGCTTAGTGTGTGTGTGTGTGTGTGTGTATTCAATAAGATTAAATTATCTTTGAATAAGATTCAAAAAGTGGTGAGGCGCTTAGGAACCAATCACATACCAATTGTAAGAGGGGGTCACAGAGTTTCTGACTGTCAGTCTGGCAGTGAACCTCCAAAGCTCAGAGCATTCGTCGTTGGTAACAACAGTTCCAAGAAAAAGGGTCACGCTGTTATCTTCCATTAAAATGCAACTTTTGCCTCTTCTGATTTTTGATTAAGTCACTGTGCACCAGCAGGCGACAGCCACGTTATACTCAATTTATTACACTGTAATTACTCATGATAATCTCTCATATCACCCACCATTAAAACACACACAGCATCAACCTTACATCAAGCTCTGTCTCCTCTTCTGGGAGCCCCAGCAGTCCTTTCAGCTCTTCATCCTCCACCCCACTGTCTCCTGTGGCAGCGCTGGGCTGCGTCTGGGGCTTCTCCCTCAGCGTGTACACCCGCGTGGATGCCCCGAACGACATGGTGGAGTCGATTGGCACCTGCTGAGGTTTATGGGGCTCCAGACGGATTCTGCCCAAAAAGGTGCCATGAGCTGGAAGGAGAAGAAATGCAATCACCACTGATGTGTAATACAAACTCCCTACAAATCAAATGTACACAGGCTTTCCCCTTCGCCATAAATATAGTCGTCAAGGCATGTTTGGTGTCTGAAGTCTGTTTTTTAATTTTGCCCTGGAGCTACAAGGCTGATGGAAGACACCCAAAATTCTGTCTGAGTGACACGAACGTGTGCTACATGAGCCTCGCAGCTCCAGTACAAAACAAACTTCATCATTCTGCCATCCATTTTGTGACTAAGTATCAACAATTTAAATATGCAGAAATTTTGAAAGATTGGTGGAATTCCCCTTTACTGACTGGTCTTGTTAAATTAAAAGTTAAATTATATAAATAAATAAATAAATACATACATACATAAATAAATCAGTAAATAAATGCAACACCTCGCCTCCAAATAAATAAACGAACACGTAAACAAACATTTCACCTCCAAATAAATAAATAAATAAATGCCATACCTCACCTCCAAATAAACAAACAAATAAATAAATGCCATACCTGACCTCCAAATAAACAAATAAATAAATAAATAAATAAATGCCGAAAATAAAAAAAACAAAAATAAATAAAAGAACCAAACTTCAGACATCAAACATGTCTCAGCTGATGGACTACATTTGGGCTAAGGGGGGGTGGATGATGAAAATTTGATTTTTTGCTGAACTGCTCCTCCAAAGTAAACATAAAAGCATTTTTAGACACTCTGAACATCAAATGTTTCCAGAGTCTGTGACAAACTGGGAACTGCTTAATGCCGGTCTCACACCAAATGACAGAGAATTCACTGTCGCAGACAAATTTCCAACGTCAACAAAAATCATGAGAGTCCTGCTGGACACTCGCGGCATCTCGATCGTTTAGTGTGAGGTGGTCAGGACGGCTGTCCTAAGTCAGGCGAGAGAGAGAGAAAGAGAGAGCATGTGTGAGAGCCTGAAATCTCTGTAAAAAAAGGCAAATCTGCTCAACTTTAAAACAATAATTAAGTAATATTTCAGGTTCACTGAGTGTAACAGTGATGTAAGGAAACGTTCAGAGGACTTTAAGAACGGCTTTATTGAAGAAGCATCAATGTTTTTTTTAGTTTTGGCTCTCTGTTACAGTGGTTTCTTATTTTGTTTTTTATAGTTTTGTTGCACTAAAAAGTTAGTTGCACGCAACTAAAAGTTGTTTTCAGAGTCTTTTCAAAGTCCTCTATGCTAACCGTCCAATAGAAGGCTTCAAAAAGGCTTTTAAAAGACTGAAGTCTGACACCCTCTCACACCTAAAGACCATTTTAGTCCCAGACTATGATTGTGTAAAGACTGGGGATCTTGCAGGGTCACTATTTGCACTATTTCCCATCATGCACCTGGTGGAAATATATAAGCAGAGAAACCCTTTCCTTCCACTCTGTAGTGGTGCAGATGGGAAGATACGCTGACTGGGTGTGTACAGATCTGGGCTCGGCCCAGTTCACTGTAGAGCTGTTCACTCTGGCAGATCATCACCCAGAATCTTTAATTAACCTGTAAAATGTGCAGCTACTTTTTTATTTAACATAAAGATTTACACACCAACACAACATGCAGCGATTCAGCACTGCTGACTGGATGTTATGAACTAAACTATCAAAACTAATAAACAAAATAAGAAACCAGTGTAAAAGAAAGTTTTTAAAAAAATGGAAGAAAAAACATCGATGATTCCTCAGTAAAGCCATTCATAAAGTCCTCTGCACATTTCCTTACACCACTGCTCCACTCAGTGAACCTGAAATATTAAAACAGATTACATATTTAAGTTAATATGATTAGTTAATATGATTATTGTATTAAAGTTGAGCAGATTTGCCTTTTTTACAGAGATTTCAGGCTCTCATGCATGCATTCTCTCTCTCTCTCTCTCTCTCAGCTTTGGCACTATTTGCATGAGTCAAGACTTAAAACTTGCGACAATGTCAAACATGGTTTATTTTGTCGCAGCGTCAAGACGAGAAAAAGACTGACCTAAAACAGCCGTCCTGACCACCTCACACTAAACGACTGATTTCACTGTCGCACACAAATTTCCAATGTCGGAATACGTTCATGAGAGTCTTGCTGGAGTTGCGTCGCACTTGCGTTACGCACATTGGAAATTTGTGTGCGACAGTGAAATCGCTTGAAAAGTCGTTTGGCGTAAGGCCGGCATAAGTTGCAGCTGATGCACGTTCAAGAGCAGAACAGGACAAAACAGATCAACAATCCTCTAAACATGACTCCTGTTTCTAAACGTCCTCCTCAGTGGAGACACTCACTGCTGTTGAGGTCGATGAGAAAGACCCTCTTGAGGTGCCGGTGGTAGACGAGCGCCGCGTGCACACGCGAGCACGACTGGTGGTCTATCGTGAAGTCACAGTGGTCCGGGTTTCTCCCAAACAGGTAGAACTTCTTCTCGTCGATGATCAGTTTCTGGAAATGGAGAAGATCAAATGCTCTGATTCAGGTGGGATATGAGACGATATGAGACGCATGACAACGACTGACAGACCACGATAAAAACGTCTGAGCTTGAGCCACTCATCTTCGGTGAGACCAGCCCCTCCAGACCAGATCATCGCAAATCCTTCATAATAACTGCAAGAGATTGCGAGTTTGACGGATCGCTGACTTATTTCAGCGTAAATGTGTCTGTTATTTTAAGCTTGTATCAGTTCCACGAAGCCTTGAAGCCTTGGTTACTGGAAACTTTATTAATAGAAAGAAGTGTTTTTCTTTTTCAGACACTTCAGTGTTTATTTATTAGTCACCTCAGTCACAAACAGTGTAAATAAATAAATGAATGCCATACTTCACCTCCAAATAAATAAATAAATAAATAAATAAATGCCATACTTTAACTCCAAACAAACAAATAAATAAATGCCATACTTTAACTCCAAACAAACAAATAAATAAATAAATAAATGCCATACTTTAACTCCAAACAAACAAATAAATAAATAAATAAATGCCATACTTCACCTCCAAACAAACAAATAAATAAATAAATAAATGCCATACTTTAACTCCAAACAAATAAATAAATAAATAAATGCCATACTTTAACTCCAAACAAATAAATAAATAAATAAATGCCATACTTTAACTCCAAACAAATAAATAAATAAATAAATGCCATACTTTAACTCCAAACAAATAAATAAATAAATAAATAAATAAATGCCATACTTTAACTCCAAACAAATAAATAAATAAATAAATGCCATACTTTAACTCCAAACAAATAAATAAATAAATAAATGCCATACTTTAACTCCAAACAAATGAAGAAATAAATGTCATACCTCACCTGAATGAATAAATAAATGCCAGACCTCAACTCCAACTAAATAAACAAATGAACAAATAAATAGGTATGTAAACTAAATAAATGCCATCTCCCACCTCCAAACAAATAAATAAATAAATAAATAAGGGTAAAAAGTGTAAATATTGCTGCAAATACTGATAAAAGCCAGGGGGAAAATCGAGCATTCTGATGGACAACAATCACAAAAAAAGGCTGCGGGAAGCTGCTGGGATAGAAATATAACAGACCTGCCTTCCCTGAGCAGGAGATACACATTTACAGCTAAAAGTCTCTCCAGGTTGTATTTCTACATCATTTCCTACACAAACTTCATTTAGGATGAAAGAGACTCTCAGCAGACGAGAACAACTGATGTTTCCTTCTGTACCAAATTCCAAAAAACCTATTACATTTTTCAGCACTCACTGAAATGAAGGTGTTAGTAGTGAGTCTGTGCTGCAGTAACAGCCTCTACTCTTCTGGGAGGGCTTTACACTAGATGTTGAACATTATTGTGAGGATTTGATTGAGTATTAATGGATGGTCAGTTCTAGGTCACTCTAACTCATCCCAAATGTAGTGGATGGAGCTCCATCAGTCCAGAGAACACAGTTCCACTGCTCCACAGCCCGATGCTGGGGGGCTTTTGACCCCTCTAGCCCACGGTAGGTGACCATATGTGGCTTTGAGTGTCTCATTCTAGTGATCAGTGTGTTTCTTTGGCAATTATACAAGCTGGGTCAGCAATGGGTGACCTTAAAGGGGCATTTCAGCCCAAAAAACGCTGAGTTAAAGAGCTGCGTTTTCAGATGTTTATTAAAAGTGAGCTCTGAGCTCGACTGTCTAATAAAAGCTGAACTCAGCTCCACAGTTTAGGAGCAGAATAACTGAAACTGAGTCTCTCCACGTTTTCTGTTTTACTGAAGGTGTTCAGAAGGTCAGAATCTGCAGATCTGAGATCATAAACAGACAGACGTTCAGGAGCTTTAAGGTCTTTTAGAGCTTTAAAAACCAGCAGCAGATCTTTAAACTCTCTCTAAAACGCTGCAGCATTTTGTACGTGTTGTAAATGTAGAGGATTATATGTAGATCTGGCAAAAACAAAGCTTTCTGAAATAACTAAGCTTTCATTTAAACTGTATCGATAAAGGATTCTTTACTCGAAGCTTTTAAAACCAGTGCACAGTACTGACACCTGGTGGTTAAAAAAACAACAGCGGCTATAATTCTGCTAAACCTGCTCTACTAAATCTTTATCTGCTAGTGATTTAAAAGTATGTAATTCGTTTTTTTAAAGCACTAAAGGTAATAAGCAGCATAAACATGACGCAGGGGTGTGTTATATGAAAAATATATAGATTTTTAGCAAAACTCTTAACAAACTCATGCATAAACTTATTCACATACAACTCTGCCCTACATAATCCTTCATAGTGAAGGTGGAGGCTTCATGTCCTCTTATTCTCCAAGGTATATTTTGGTTTGTCTATCTGAATTTACACAACCAAATCGTAAGGCAAATTATTCAGTAACTGCATGAAATAAATGTACATTTTTATTTAATTTTTTTTTGTAAAATTCCCCTCAAATTAACAGAACATGTTTTATGATACATATATTGCTATATGCTTAAAATTTACTGCTGAAAGACAAAAATCTTAGACGCTCTTTGTATTATTTTATAAAAATAATGTTTACAGAGCAGATCACTGAAGAGACGCCATCTGTTCATAGTTTATAGCCCAGATTTGTGAAAAATGGGTCGACTTTCAGTAGAAAATAAAATTGTGAGTTCAGCTTCTTTTATTATAAAGGCTTAAAATTACATCACCCATCTATTTGACTGGAAAGAAGACAGTTACAGCTCTAATACGACCCCCACCTTTAGAATGTAGCTTATGAAATATGAAAGTTATGAAGAATACGACGAAGTTCGTTTTGGGACCACCGGTGGTCTCAAGGAGTTGAAAAGGATATGTGAAAGCTAAAGTAAGATGTAAGTGTTGGGTTTTGCCATGAAACCATGAAAACCTGCACCAGTTCATTTCTGTTGGATCTGTTCCCAAAGCAGTCACATGGTTTTGTACCAAACAAAGCTTCAGCGGTCAGCGGTCACGTGTGTTTTTGGAACGTGAACCCAGCAACACTACAGTGCTTTAAAGTAAAGTGAGTTGTTCTGGTATCAAGTGTAACATCACTATTAAGATGTACAGATGTGAAGTACAGCTTTCTAACAGTACATAGCTTCCTTCTGCATTAGCCAGCTAGCCACTGTTTTTCAAAAGTTCCTCCCACCTTCAAGACACATCAACAGAAAGGAGCTTTCCTAGTCTTTAAACCAGACTATCTCACTCTAGAGCAGGAATGTCAACCACTAAAAGGGCCATATTAAAAAATCTCGGCAAACCCGTGGACCAGAGAACATCTGTTTCATTTTATTTTTAATTAACATTTTGGCATGGGGGCAGTCATGGGCTATGGGGGCAGTCATGGGCTGGAGGTTAGGGAACCAGCCCTGTGACCGGAAGGTCGCCGGTTAGATCCTCTGAACCGACAGTATGTGACTGAAGCGCCCTTGAGCAAGACACCTAACCCCCAACTGCTCCCCGGGTGCTGTAGATAGGGCTGCCCACCGCCCCGGGCAAGTGTTCTCACTGCCCCTAGTGTGTGTGTTCACTAGTGTGTATGTGGTGTTTCACTGCACGGATGGGTTAAATGAGGAGGTGAAACTGTGGGACTAATTAGGGTCATCAAATCCATAAACCAAACTGACCATTGTTTATTCAAAATACACAAAACCTTCAACAGTAAAATACAGGGACTTGTAGTAGAGTACAAGAATACCTGAAATATTCTAAATGTAAACGTCCCCAGGGGCTCAGTCTTTTAAACCCACCTATCTGCTTGAACTGGACACCTGGAATCCTTTCTTTGCTGCAGGTTCATTCAGACTTGGGCTCAGTTTCTGAGCTGCTGAGCTGACGTTCAGTGTTTATCCTGGCTGAACTGCAGCTGAAATGCATTTTGGTGATATGACTAATGTAGAACTGTGTAGAATTGTGTAGAACTGAGGTGTAACCCCTGTCCCATAGACTGTTGTTGGGGTAGGAGACTCAGAGCACACGTTACGTTGCAGTGCATGCTGGGGGCTGTAGTGCAGTGCACTGTTAAGCAAGCTAATATTAATAGAAAATGAAAACATTTCTGCAGGCTGGATAGGATTGTGTTGCCTGATCTGGCCTGCAGGCCTCGTGTTTGACTCATGGGCTCTAGAGACTCCTAAGGCACCAATGTAAGAGGCAAACTGATGTACTGAATGGTTAAATTTTTAATTTTGGCCAGACTGCCCCTTTAATAAAGTAGCTGAATCCACTAATTAGTGTGGATGTTTTAGGCATGTAGTGTAAGATGGAGCACTGGCCTCTAATGCAGAGTAAAGCTCCATGGCTGTTTTCCAATCTCACTGCTTGCCTGCTCAGAGTGCACTTAACCAGGTCAGTACCACTCTGCAGCACATGACTGACTCATCTAATGGATCTTACCTCTATTAACTTGTCTCCTTTAACCACATCCAAATGAAGCCCGGCGGGTGGTTTTCCTGCCCTAAAGCCAAACAGAAAAGAAGTTAAACAGACCTCTAATAAACATCAGAAAAAAATGAACACAGTTTTGTTGTCCATAGAGGGGAAACTCCACTGATTTTTCAAAAATTCTGCAAAATTAAATGGCCGAGATGTAAACAAAGTCGTCCAGAGTGGTTTGGTGTGAAACGCTCTGTTCTAGAGTCAGAACTGTTCACAGTGGTGGTGATAGGAACCAGATGTCCACCTCTAAAAGCTCCCTTACAGAAAGTTACTACATGAAATGGTTATGAATTCACTGCCTGATGACCGAGACACTGTTTTACAGTGAAGGGATACATGCAGGGCATTATGAGGCAAAATAGTCCCCAAAGAAAACTTTTTTTTTTTTAATTTTCCACTATTTTATCATCATCAACATTACACAAATACTCAGAAAACATGTAGGTTCACTGGTGGTTTTGGATAGTAAAGAAATCTGAGTCTCTACAATGAACCATTTCACACCAAACCACTCTGAATGACTCTGTTTACATCTCAAGGATTGAATTATTGAGAAATTTTGAAAATTTGGTGGAATTCCCCTTTAAGCACCCATGTAGGGAGCTGTTCATAAACCTATAGGTTTGCTAGGACTTTGTATGTTTGTTTATATGCAAACTAGCATTGCAAAAGTTTATTCTGCGTCCAGACCTGCAGGATGAACCGTCGGGGTGTAAGAAGGTAGAAGCTTCTTATTCGAATTGTCCGTTCCACCTTAAATGGTGCAGCTGTTCCATTCTAGCGCAGGTAGCAACTTACAGGCGCCAGAATGCGACTGATGCATTATTTAAGGTGGAACGGAAAATTAAAAAAATAAGCTGGTGAATAAAAAGCCAACTTCTGCTTCGTCTGTTACTTTATTTATCTGACAGCATGTATGAAGCACAAACATTTCAGAAGCAGCCAGCTGACTAGAAAAGCAGCTAAAACAGCTACGATGCAGATTATTGCACCAATGTATGGGCTTATAATACTCTCGGTGCAAGCCATAACTGCAGTTATAACTATATATAATAATATAGACCCGTAACACGACGTCTTTGCAGTTTATAACGGACACACTGTCCTAATCTGCAGGCTTACCATGACGGGCAGTCGAAATGGGCTGTGTTTTTGCTTGGATTCGCCGCCATCTTGGCTGGCTTGGGCTCATGAGCGGCGCGGAATGGGCGGGGCCACCCGCTGGCTGACTGCCTTTCTGGGAGGTGTAGTTTCTAGAGCATTCTTTGTAGTTCAGCTAAGTTTGAGTCAAGTCACGTCAAGTCAAGAGGCTTTTATTGTCATTCCATCTATGTACAAGTACACAGTGGAGTGAAATGACGTTCCTCCAAGGAACGACATGGAACAAAATAGACAGTGCAGACGTGCAAACGTAAGTGTGCAAAAAAATTAAACTAGAAACAACACAATAAATACAACAGTAAGTAAATAAAACAGTAAATAAAACAGACATTAGACACAGTAAACACAATTAAACAGACAGGACAGTGCAGCACCGACACAGCACTCATTTCTGAGCATGAGGTAGGGTTGTGGAATAAGGTGCAGATATATTTAACATGCTGTGATCTGTGAGTAAACACTGTCAGATTATAACATACGTGAGCACAGCAGTTACTGAGGTAGGATATACACAGTACTAGAGTGAACAAAGTGTGAACACTGTAAGAGCAGCAATGTTCCAGTGCAAATAGAGCATCAAAGAGGTGTGTGTGTATGTGTGTGTGTGAGTGTAGAGTGTGTGAGTGTTTTGTGTGTGTGTGAGTGTAGAGTGTGTGAGTGTTTTGTGTGTGTGTGTGAGTGTAGAGTATGTGTGTGTGAGTGTAGTGTGTGAGTGTTTTGTGTGTGTGTGTGTTTTGTGTGTGTGTGAGTGTAGAGTATGTGTGTGAGAGAGTATGTGTGTGTGAGTGTAGAGTGTTTTGTGTGTGTGTGAGTGTAGAGTGTGTGAGTGTTTTGTGTGTGTGTGTGAGTGTAGAGTATGTGTGTGTGAGTGTAGTGTGTGAGTGTTTTGTGTGTGTGTGTGTTTTGTGTGTGTGTGAGTGTAGAGTATGTGTGTGAGAGAGTATGTGTGTGTGAGTGTAGAGTGAGTGTGTGTGTGAGTGTAGAGTGTGTGTATGTGTGTAGAGTATGTCTGTGTGTGTGTGTGAGTGTAGTGTGTGTATGTGTGTGTGAGTGTAGTGTGTGTGTAAGTGTGTGAGTGTAGAGTGTGTGTGTGTGTGAGTGTAGAGTGTGTGAGTGTAGAGTATGTCTGTGTGTGTGTGTGAGTGTAGAGTGTGTGTGAGAGTGTAGAGTATGTGTGTGTGTGAGAGTTGTGTGTGTGTGTGTGTGAGTTGTGTCTGTGTAGGTGTAGAGTATGTCTGTGTGTGTGTGTGTGTATAGTGTGCGTGTGTATGTGTGTGTGTGTGTGTAGAGTGTGTGAGTGTAGAGTGTGTGTGTGTGTGTGTGAGTGTAGAGTGTGTGTGTATAGAGTGTGCGTGTGTATGTGTGTGTGTGTGAGTGTAGAGTGTGTGTGTGTGAGTGTAGAGTGTGCGTGTGTATGTGTGTGTGTGTGTGTGTGTGTGTGTGTAGAGTGTGTGAGTGTAGAGTGTGTGTGTGTGAGTGTGTGAGTGTAGAGTGTGTGTGTGTGAGTGTAGAGTATGTCTGTGTGTGTGTGTGTGTGTGTGTGTGAGTGTAGAGTGTGTGTATAGAGTGTGCGTGTGTATGTGTGTGTGTGAGTGTAGAGTATGTGTGTATGTGGGTGTGTGTGTGTGAGTGTGTGAGGGGGTATTCAGTTCAGCCCTTGTGAGTTTAAAAACCTGATTGTTTGTGGATCAAAGCTGTAGCAGAGTCTGGCAGTGATGGCGCGGATGCTCTGGTACCTTCTGCCAGACGGCAGCAGTGAAAAAAGTCCATGTGAGGGGTGGATGGGGTCGTCCACGATGCTGGTGGCTTTGCGGATGCAGCGTGTGGTGTAGATGTCCATGATGGAGGGAATTTTATTATGTTTTAGCTTGTAAAGCAGTGTTTCTGAACATTTTTTCCTCGAGACCCCCTGTCCTGCACATTTTACTGCTTTTTCAGCAAGGTGGGCTGTTAATGAGCTGATTACTTGGAGCAGGTGTGTTGGGAGCAGGGAGGATCCTAAAAAGTGCAGTGGGCCTCCAGAACCAGGGATGAGAAACAGTGATGTAGAGCATTCAAACAAAATACTGACTGAATAATTAATTACCACTTATCTTGTGTTTGGCAACAATATAGGGTTGCATTCAGGGACAGAGGTGGTACGTAACAAAGTACGTCGATACTGTACTTAAGTAGCTTTTTTAGGTATCTGTACTTTAAGTATTTCTTTCAGTACTTTATACTTTTACTCACTACATTCCAAAAGAAGAATCTGTGGTTTTTACTCACTTCATTTTCAAAATGGGCTCGTTACTTTAGTTTGGACAAACTTTGTGTATTTCATCTACCTACTTATTTATGTATTGTTTGAATCAGACAATCTGCTCCCTATTGGAGGTGACGTGGTGGTGGGGAGGGGGGGGTGGAGCAGAGTGAACCTGTGATTAGCTACTTTCACGGCTTGCAAGCCCCAGCAGTGAGCACACAGGAAAAGCAAGGGAATTTAACAGAAGAGACAGCGGAACCAGTAGAAAGTAACAGCATCGAGCCTTAATGCGGACAATGCTTCTGAAATAACCCGGATCCACAGCCTTACTCAGTGCTGGAGTGGGTGATCGGGAGAGTCGGGGGTTACTGTGAATTAATGAATAATCTCACAGCACAAGAACGCTCAGACTGTAAACGTTACATCCAAGTATGTATCTGTGGTAATTTAGGGGTTAAACCTGCGGCCCCACCTCAAGCGATACAGCCCCGGCTTACTGACCGTCATTGAGACTTGAACAGTGGACAGAGACTAGATGAAACTGAAGCTGCTTCATTTCCCATCCCACCTTAAATGATTTAGCAGTTACATTCAGATGCCTGTACGAATGTTACTTCAGTGCATCGAGTCATTACAGGTAGAATATATATAAACATAACATAAACCATAAATGTTGTGGCAGCATGCTTTAGCTTGTGATGATTAGGCTTTGGTGTTTAAGATTGATAGATGTTTTTCCTCGTCTTCACATATCAGCTGTTTCATTTAACCTTTTCAGCTCCTCGAGACCACCGGTGGTTCCAAAATGCACATATTCATATTCTTCATAACCTTCATATTTCATAAGCTACATTCAGAAGGTGGGGGTCGTATGAGAGCTGTAACTGTCTTCTTTCCAGTCACATAGATGGGTGATGTAATTTTAAGCCCTTATAATAAAAGAAGCTGAACTCACAATTGTTTGTCCACTGAAAGTCGACCCATTTTTCCACAAATCTGGGCTATAAACTATAAACAGATGGCGACTCTTAAGTGATCTGCTCTGTAAACATTATTTTTATAAAATAATACAAAGAGCGTCTAAGATTTTTGTCTTTCAGCAGTAAATTGTAAGCATATAGCAATATGTGTATGATCATAAAACATGTTCTGTTAATTTGAGGGGAGCTTAAAAAAATAAAAATTTATATTTATTTCATGCAGTTACTGAATAATTTGCCTTGTGATTTGGTGATGAAAATTCAGATGGACAAACCAAAATATACCCTGGAGAATAAGAGATTAACTTTCATGTCGTCTTCATTTGGGTCTGCTCGCTGTGGCAGTGACCTGCGTTTTTGGGTTTAACGATGATCAGGTTTTAAGTTTGTACATCTTTGTAGGTTTAACATTGTACATCCCAGCTGTCCGATTTTAACCTAGTTTTGTCATCTTCTCTGACATTTTTTCTTAGTAGAGATTCGATCGATGTTCATCCCCAATTCTTGTAAAGAAAGTTTGGGTGTCCTAGACAAGTGCATTTTTGATCATAAGGCCTGCAGCTTTAGTATAAACAATTATGCTCAGTTAAATGGACGTGTACCTCCAACCCTCAATAAAAAGATATTTAAAAATTGAATTAGAAATGAGAAATACCTTTAGTATATTTATACGCTTGTACTTTTATATTTCTACTTAAGTAAAAAAAAAAGTCATACTTTAAGTTTATTTTTTTACTAGATTACTAGTACTTTTACTTAAGTAAGGGACTTTTGTATTTCTGCCACCTCTGCTTTAAAAAGATGGCTCTTCAAGCATCCTTTAGTAGAAGCAATGGTTCTATTTAGAATCACGAACACTCAAAGAACCATTTGCTTGCTGAAGTTGTTCTTCAGAGAATATGTGGTATATGGTTTCACATCGTACCAACAAGTGTTCTGCTACTGTTACAATATCAAGCGTGTATACAAAAGCAGAACCCTTTTTGGTGCTATAAAGAACCATTTTTGGAAAGTTACTTTATAGAACCATATAGAACACATTTTACATCAATCCGAAGAACCATTTCACCATGCAAAGAGCCATTTAATCATGCAAATGGTTCTTTAAGTGTTCACAGGTCTATACAGAACCACTGTCTTTAGTAAAGAACAGTGGTGGACGAAGTACACAAACCATGTACTTGAGTTAAAGTAGAGACACCCAAGGTAAAATATTACTGCAGTAAAAGTAGAAGTTCCTCCCTTTAGGCCTCCACTTGAGTAAAAGTACAAAAGTATTTGCCTTCAAATGTACTTAAGTATCAAAATTGAAAGGACTCAAAGGTTAATTATGGCTCTGATGTCCTGTTACCATTTTGTAACAAGATTCTTGCTCTAAATTTAAACAAGTTTAAATTTAACAAAAACTTGCTTTAAACTCAGATTCACAAATGAGTTTCCTTTACTAAACTGCATCTGTAGGTCTCTGTTCATAAACATAAACTAGACAAAACTAATTTACTTTAAAATGAAAGTGTTTGTATAAATTCAGAAAAGACCCGTCAGTCACAACTGCATATGAGTACATATTTCTATATTGTGGTCTATTTACACAAAGTTAGGTTAGTTCATCATTTATGTTGAATAGACTCTCCCAAAATTTTACACTGCTGCACTGATGTTGAACCGTGTGCTGCACTGGGTCGGTATGACCAACAGGTCAAAACAAGCTCAAAACAAAGTGACCGCTGTGCCCTGACTGGTGTTTTGCTTTGCGCTTCTTTCGCTTTGACGTTGTTTTTATACACACATAAACCAAAAGGAACGACAGATTTTTGATAATGTAGAGGAGTAAAAAGTGAGATATTTGACTTTGAAATGTAGTGGAGTGAAAGTAAAAAGTAGCCCAAAATGGAAAAACTTCAGCAAAGATAAACGAAAAAACAGTAGTAACAGTAACGTGCAGTACAGTAACGAATTACATTCACTTAGTTACTGTCCACCACTGGTAAAGAACCCCTGAAGAACCATCTTTAAGAGTGCAGGTTACAGTCTTCTACACTCAGGGCCATGTGCATTACCTCAAAACTGTAAAGGCCTGATTAGCAGAATGAATGCAGAAGATGTAGAGAACAAAAACAGACCCTGTTATTTTTTTCACAATGCTGTTTTCAAACAAGATCTCAAACATCTGCAAGAACAACAGATCAGAAAACTCAAAACAAAATGCATTAAATCACAATTTCAAATGATTTTCTAACACCATTCAATACTTTCACTCTTACACTCAAATCAACAATGTGAATTGTTTGAAACAGATGCTGCTCACATCTGTCTTTTAGACGCAAGTAGACTTGAAGTGGTCGTCATCAACCGTTGAGAAAATGTGGCCTTCGTTTATAAGGAACTTCAAGCAGGTCCTGGAATGAAAATAAACCAAACCAAACAAAACATTGAGAAATTTCAAAAGGTGTACTAAGCACAGCGATGCATCTTTGCTTCCTGTATCTGTTATCATTACTGATGGCCAAGTCCTCCATCTGAATGTGAGACTAGTTAATCCTCCACAACATGAAAGAAAGTCCGGAGGAAAGATCTATCACTTCAAACAATAATCTAATAATAAAAGATCTGAGACATTCCAATAAGATCTTTTACACCAATGAAATTTTTCACAACTTGAGGTGAACAGCGGCTCTAATATATCGTAATGAATCACTTCTGCGAGACGTCTCATTAATATAAATGGCAAAACTGAAGTGCTCCAAGGCTTTAATGAGGTTTATTAATAAAAATGGAAAGCTCTACCTGATGTCATAGGGGGTCAGATATTTGAGCGAGGTCTTCAGGCTCTGCACGCTGATGCCCTCGGCCAGAGGACAGCTTTTAATCAGGTTAAAAACCTACAGGACACATACAGCATTAGACGGTAATGTATGGAACACTATGGGTCAGTTTTCTGAGGCAGGGATTAAGCCTAGACCTGCACTAGGCAGCACTTTGAATGGAGATTTGCCACTGAAAGAAATATTCCATGAACAGGCTTATTATGATCAATCAAATGCCTTGCCAAATTATTTTTTTTTTTTATTTGTTTTTGAGAATTACAATCAGTTATTTTTTTTGGTGAAAATATTTGATAAACCTGTTCAGTACGTAAACATTCAACAAATTTGGCAGACACTTTGATCATTTTACACAGGTAGGCAAAGCTAGTGTTATGAGTCTTGCCCAAGGACTCTTATTGGTATAGTGTAGGGTGTTTGCCCAGGCAGGGATTGAACCCCAGCGTAGAAGGCAGAGGTGTAACCCACTACACTACACCAACCGAACAAATGAACAGACGTGCAAAGACACAGTTATTTAAAAATAAATTAAATTAAACAGGGTCCTGTCCCAAACTTTAGGAGTCAATTCCCACGGACCAAACGACCACAGCATCAGCCTGTACTCAATTCAGTCTGGCAGTGGCCGCTCCAGAACCATGACATCCATAAACAGAGCCAGAATGTAGATCATAAGTGCTACTCGGTTCTGCACAAAGTTTCTTCACTGCTGACAGAGAAGCCATTTCTGCTTTCTTTTGATGGAGTTTAAAGTTAAGTGTTAAAGCTGTATATAAGGGCAGGGTCACTATTGGAAGAGAAGAGAGCAGTGAAGCTGTCGTTTTCACAGAGAAGAAACAAATAGGTGTTCTGAGAGCGTCTGAAGAGCATTTAGAGCAAAGATTATCAGTGGAAAGTTTCTTTTGGAACGCCTGGTAAGGGGTTACATAAAACCTGTGCAGATTTATAGTGTGTATGACTTGCCAAATTATAAGCACTGCCCTGGCCTCACCACCGTTACTGAGAATCTTGGGACAACAATGGGCTAAATGTGGGGGAATGTAGACGTATTATAGTGGGAACAAAGTGTGAAATTTCTAAATCAGTCCAACAGCAGCTCAAAGCAGGGGGCGCTAGTGAGCTAGTCAACATTCTTCAGTGGGCAACAAGCCTATCCTTAATCCCATGATTGCAACAAGTTACTACACCTGAAAAGACCCCCCAAAGATCTTCAATGAAGCATGTAAATGTGAGTCGTGTGTGCAGAGAACAATACATGCAGCAAAACTTATATCGATAATTAATGTCAAATAACTGCAATAAACAATGTTTTCTTGCTCATTGCACACAATGTATTACAATACAAATCTGAAGTGGCCAAAGTGGTTGACCAGCTTATGGTGCTGTGAAAAAGTATTTGCCCCTCCCCCGATTTCTTCTATTTTTGCCAGTTTGTCACATTTAAATGTTTTAGATCATCCAAGTAATTTTAATATAAGATAAACAAGTGAACACAAAATGCAGTGTTTAAATGATCATTCCGTTTATTGAAGATAAAGATTTATTTGAAACCAATAATCACCCATGTGAAAACGTAAAGAGAGCAGAGTTCATGGTTCCCTCAGTTATGGCAAGTCGTCCAGGTCCTGCAGAAGCAAAGCAGCCCCAGACCATCACACTACCACCACCATGTTTCACTGGAGGTGAATTATGGTTTAATGCAGTTAGCTTTACGCCAGACGCTTGCTGTCCAAAATGTTCCACCTTTCACTCCTCAGTCCATAGAACATTATCCCAAAGGTCGGGGTCATCAACAAGAGTCAAGCCTTTGTGTTCTTTTTGGTCAGCAGTGGTTTGTTCTTTGCGACTCTCCCATGGATGCCATTTTTGTCCAGTGTCTTTCTTACTGTGGAGTCATGCACACTGACCTTAACTGAGGCAAATGAGGCCTGCAATTCTTTCAATGTTTGTCTGGGCTCTTTTGTGACTTCCTGGATGAGTCGTCAATGCGCTCTTGGTGAAACTTCTTTTTTGGTAGTTCAGCCAATCCTGGGAAGGTTCACCACGGTTCCAAGTTTCCTCTATTTGTAGATAATGGCTCTCGCTGTGGTTCTCTGGAGCCCCAGAGCCTCAGCAATGGCTTTATAACCCTTTCCAGACTGGTAGATCTCAGTGACTGTTTCACATCTGTATTTGAATCTATTTAGAACATGCTGCTTTGAGACCTTCTAGCTGCTCCACACTGTCAGACAGGTTCTATTTATATGTTTAGATTCAACAGGTCTGGCAGTGATCATGCCTGGGTGTAGCTTGTGAAACTGAACACAATAGTCAACTGAATTTGGTTAACTGGTTGATTTGGTTGTTTGTTACTTTTTCACAAAGGGCCAGCTAGGGCTGAACAGCATGTTTCCTTCCTTAAAAACAGCATTTTTTTGTCCAACATTATCTTTGTTCAACATTAAAAGCAGTTTGATCTGAAATATTCAAGTGTGACCAATATGCAAAAATAAGAGAAATTGGGAAGGGTCAAACACTTTCACAGCACTGTTCTTAGTAGCCAAGACTGGTTGTACTGTTGAATTAATACACTGCACTCACACCAATGTCTATTAGGGTTCTGAAACAAAGACTGAAACTGCAATACAAATGTCCACAGCCTCGCATCAAGGTTTCAGAAGACAGAACCATGATAACCCTCCCCTCCCCAGTCAGCTAATGCGGCCTGCTGAGCCCTTATTACAAAATATACATATTACACACTATAACAAGTAAATTATGATATTACTGTTTACTAGTTCTGTTTAATGTTAGGGCTGCAATGTTCTTTCATGTTCTTCTCTTTAGCGTTTTTGACCATTTTCTTATTTTAGTGTTTGGAATGTATTATAATATGGATTGCAGTGTATTTGAAATGTATTTCAAATGAATATAAAAACAATACATTTTCCTATATGGGTTTCTTCTCCGTTTTGGACAGTAATGGCTGAACGATCACTGCTCGTGTTCATATCGGGGGGCTCTTTGTGAGGATGCTGACCCACCTGGCTCTGATTGGCAGTAAAGCCATAGGAAGTTGATTCGTTTGAACGGGACAGGCTCATTATTGAGGTCATGGCCTTTTTCTTCATCTAGAAGAAGAAACACCATCAGTTAGACTAGTAGTATTAGCGTCTTCTCAAAGATGCATGTGCATGTAAATGTAAGTGATATTAGGCTTTAGAGGTGAAGTGAAGCTACAGCTGGGCAGCATTCAACACCAGAGTTCACACTCACCATACTGCACGAGCTGCTGTCGTTCAGCAGATGAGCCTGAACTACCTCCATCATGTGCGAGGTGATCTCGTTATAGTCCTCCACACGGCAGGTGCTGAAAGCCACCATGGATCTGTGATTCTGATACACGATAAAAACTATAACTGTGCTGAACCTGTGAGGAGAGACTGCATTCTATAGAAATTTATCCTATATAAAAATAATAAGCTTGTTAATTTGAATTAATGCATCATTGAATTAATGCATACATTAGTGCTTCTACTTTTTGTGGTGGAAGGCAGGGTTCCTCAGATTGATGGAAAATGTGCTGCAGATGTGCTTCTATTTGTTATAATGTAAGGCTTGTAACAATAGAAGAACCCTTTCATGATGCAAAGAACCCTTTTATCATGCAAAGGGTTCTTTGAGTGTTCATGGTTCCTCAGGAATTTGCTGTTCTCTATTTTAAACACATTTTGTAAACTTAAACCACTGAAACTGGAAGTTTAAATATAATTTAATCCCTGAAAGAGGCTTATGAGAGTTTAAAGTAACAGTGCAACCGGATTAAATTTAAATCTAGATTTACTGTAAAATTAATCCAGGATTAAAGTGATGGTTTAAACATAATCCTGATTATTTTTAAAATAGGTGTAAAGTTTGGTGAAACAATCATCAGATAAACCCTGATTTAATCCTTATAAGTTTAAGCTTAATCCTTGTTGGTGACGCCCACTTTAATTCATATCTAAAGAAGAATCCAGCTCGAATCAAGCTGTTGGTCAAATATATACACCCCTAACTCTCACTATAATGGTATGTCTTAAGCGATCTGCTCACTGAATATCGTCAGAAAGACAAAGTGCATCAGACGGACACCTGAAAGGAGCGAAGGCTGCCCACCACTTTGATGTATGTGCCAGGAGGAATCACACAGTCATTCATATTGGCATCCTAGGACGAACAAAAAGAAAGGCAGCTGTTCAACTGTTGGGCTGTTCAGATCAATTCTACTGACATAAATACTATTTTGCCATTCGCACCTCGAGATCCATCCACTGTTTAACGTCTAGAGGAGGTCCAGTCATGTCATCCAGGGAGTACACAACGTACGCCACCGCCGGCTTAGTTCTCCTGACGATACCCACCACGGTCACCTGCGTGGAGACATTTATAAGCAAACTAGAAGTTGTATCGCTGTTATCGGAGCAAAACTTCACCTCTCCAAAATGGTAAATTTACAGGAGAAGGACAAAAAAAATTTACTTTTAATTTAAGTAACACACTCTAAACCACTTATCCCTCTGGGTCACAGTGGGGTGCTGGAGCCTATCCCAGCCGTCATTGGGCGGAAGGCAGGATACACCCTGGACAGGTTGCATGTAAGGAACAGTCTTTTTCAAATTATGTCAAACTGAAAAACGACAAAAAAGGAGATACGAGTTTTTCTTCCAACAGCCGAGTTATACCACAGGTGCCCAATCCTGGTCCTGGAGATCTACCACCCTGCAGAGTTTAGCTCCAACCCTAATCTAATGCACCTGATCCAGATAATGAAGGTCTTCATGAGCATCTAATTGGTATGGGTGTGTTGGATCTGAACTCTCCAGGGTGGTAGATCTCCAGGACCAGGACTGGGCAGCCCTGGCTTATACTAACGCTGGAAGATCCATGATCTATACTAGCAGTAAACCAGTATTCAGCGTCACATTAGTATTGATTTAGTTTATTAGTATAAAAAGTATTAGCAGTACTGATAGAGCACAAGCATTATATCCATGATCAAGTTCTGTTCTGCCAAACTGCAGTATCTCTGTTGCCAAGCAGTGCTGTTTTATGTACTTTATCATGGACCAGACAATAAAAGGGGAAAAAAAAAATCCACCAATTTGTAAATATTTCTGCACAATTAAACAGCAAAGTCATTCAGAGTGGTTTGATGTGAAATGCATCATTCTAGAGTCAGTTCACAGTGGTGGTGATAGGAACCAGACGTCCACCTCTAAAAGCTCCCTCACAGAAAGTTACTACATGAAATGGTTATGAATTCACTGCCTGATGACTGAGACACTGTTTTAAGATAGTTTTGAGAAGATTTTATCCTCAAACTTTCTTTTTAAAACACATTCATTGTAAAGGGGTACATGCAGGATGTTGTGAGGCAAATATTCTCCAAAGAAAACATTGAGATTTACCATCAACATTACATTCAAAAACCTCATATATTAGGTTTCTTGGTCATCAGATAGCAAATAATATGCATCATAAAGCATCAACTCAGTTTCCACCACTAAAGAAATCAGAGTTTCTCAATGAGCCATTTCACACCAAAGCACTCTGGGTGACTTTACATCTCAACCACTGAATTAGGCAGGAATTCTCAAAAATTGGTGGCCTTCCCCTTTTAGGGCAGTGTATGTCATTTGTTGGATGCTTCAGATTGTACTTGGAGAATAAGTTAGCAGTAAATAAGAGAAAGAGCGTTCTCATTAGAGAGAAATACATAATCTAATCGCTGCTGTCAGATCAAAACCAACGTTTTTGAACTAAAGGGGGGGGGGTGGGGTGGGGGCTTGTCCTCATTAATCATGGAAATTTCATGATTAATGGACAAAAGAAACGCCCCACATCTCACGCACACCAAATGTATATCAAATATTTATCAAATATATACAATGCATTTATCTGTATTTGTTAGTGTTTCTCAATTGTATGTAATTTTAATAAAAGTACATAAAACTGAAATACTGAGTACTGACTTCTGTGATCTGCACTGTACTTTACATTAACCATGTACGTCTGCTGTCAGACTCTCACACACAATGCATTTCACATAAACAAGATATCAGATCATAACTGCATTTTCACAGAGTATCAATACCCACAACACTCGCTTCTGTCCTGTTAAAGGATCATTAGATCAGATTTAAAATGAAGATACTGGAACACAAACTCATTTCTAAAGGTATCAGACAGTGAAGAGCATCAGACAGGATTCTGGATATTTGCATACATTTTCAAATGTATTTGATAAACATTTACATACATTTATTTTTGTATGGAACATTTGTGTGTAATATTTCCCCATACATTTTAAAGTATATTTGGTTAATATGGCAAAATATTCTGAAATATATTTGTGTTTGGAATGTATTTCAGCATAATGTATGACATTTTTAAATGCAAACAAAGACCTATGACTAATATTCCTTTAGCTCACCTGGTTGATCTCAGTCCCCTGTATAAAGAAGGAACCCTGCTGCTCGGTGGCAGACAGGAGCTGAGACACTGTGCAGGGCAGAACGCATAATATTCGTGATCTCTGGAAACATTAGAGGCAAACAATCAGCGATTAAACCTCACAGTCGCTGTTTACAACAAACATGTACGCTAAACCACTAAAACAAGTTCAGACTTTATTACCTTTGACGTTCCTTCACTGGGTGAACGCGAGGACTCACCAGGAGAAAGGCGGTACCGATAACCTGAACGAGATCAGAGCAGCTTTGATTCTGCACTAATAAACTGAACGACCCTCTCATCATTTGGAGATGATGACCATGTGGGGGTTTCACAAAGCAGGACTTTGGTTTTTCAGATAAGTCAAGTCTGTCTAACAGTGGAAGATTCAGAGAGTGTTCCTCATAATCCCTGTACAAGAAATGCACCAGAGAGCTTTTCACAAAGCAGCTCTCAACAGTTTAAAGGGGAATTCCACCAACTGAAAAATTCTGCATGATTAAATGATTGAGATGTAAATGAAGTCATTCAGAGTGGTTTGGTGTGAAACACTCTGTTCTAGAGAAACAGTGGTGGTGATAGGAACCAGACGTCCACCTCTAAAAGCTCCCTCACAGAAAGTTACTACAACAAGGAAAAGTAACCTATTTCCCATCATCAACATTCCATATAAACTCAGAAGACTCGTGTAGGTTCACTGGTGGTTCTGGATAGTAAATAAAATGTCTATATTTGTGTTGTCATGGCGACCCCTGGTTCCTATCACCACCACTGTAACGACATCTGAACCATTTCACACCAAACCACTCTGAATCACTCTGTTCACATCTTGCTGACTGAATTCTGGAGGAATTTTGAAAGTTGGTGGAATTCCCCTTTAAGTTTAGGGTGTACTGGTTTACTGGTCACAACAAGGACCCTCTGGTGGTCCCGATTGACTGATTTGAGATACACTGACAAAATACCGTTTCTCTGCATACGTTGTTACCCTGTTCTTCACTGGTCAGAACCCCCACAGGAGTGGATCAGACACAGCAGTGCTGCTGGAGTTTTTAAACACCTCAGTGTCGCTGCTGGACTGTGAACCAAAAATATCCAGCCAACAGCGTCCTGTGGGCAGCGTCCTGTGACCACTGATGAATAACTAGAGGATGACCAACACAAACTGTGCAGCAGCAGATGAGCTATCGTCTCTGACTTTACATCTACAAGGTGGACTGACAAGGTAGGAGTGTCTAATAGAGTGGACAGTGAGTGGACACACTGTTTAAAAACTGGTCAGTCAGTGCCACTGCAGTACTGAGAATGACCCACCACCTAAATAAAACCTGCTCTGTGGGGGTCCTGACCATTAAAGAACAGGCTAACAAAGTATGCAGAGAAACAGATGGACTACAGTCTGTAACTGTAGAACTACAAAGTGCAACTATATGGTCAGTGGAGCTGATAAAATGGACAATGAGTGTAGATGCAAGATGTTTTGTCTGACCGGTATAAATATTAGCAGAATTCAACTTTAAGTCCAAAGTGAGAACAGACTTTTCACTGACCACATCTCCTACTGGACAGCCTGCTTCTTTGGCGAATTCATTTTTTAATCAATATATAAAAAGGAAAAAACCTGCTTTGTTAAATTCTACAGAAGACCATCACATTCATGTGGAGCAAAACCCTACAAACCTTTATGAAAAAGCAAAACCAACAAAAACACATGACTTCCAGTGTCACTGTTAGAAAGAACATGTAAGCAAACGAACCGTGACTCCCCATCAGCAGCTCTGAGCACCTCAGTCCAGCTCACTGCGTCTGCTTTAATGGTGAACCAGCAGAGTGGACAACTGCACTGCCTCTGCTGTGGGTTAATGCTGATCTGGAGGAGTAATGAGGATCACCTGAACACCTGACCTTCTCATTGGTCAGCTCTCCAGCCTCCTGCCTCACACAGCTGTTCTGTTTTACTGCAGATTGAGGCTGGTCTGCTGGCCTGCCGACAGGGGGCGCACTTTAGACATTTAGAATGGTGCTCAGTGCAGCTTTTAAAAACACTACTAATAAGAGAATTTCACTTTTAAAACAACAGATGATAAAAAGTCTTGAATTGAATTTTTGGGAATATTTCCTGCAGTTTTCTATAACAATGCTGCAAAATTCCTCAAAGGTAAAAATAAATGCATTAAACTGACTTCATTTTTATAAACTTCTCAAATACCTAAGTCACTGCAGCAGCACTGCACTGCACTGCACAGTTCAAATAATAAGGCACAGCAGCGAAATGAAAACATGGGACACCATTTTTTGAATACACTCTTAAAAATGACGGTTCTTTAAGGGTTCTTCAATAAAGAAAATAGTTCTATATAAAACCATAAACACTCAAAGAACCCTTTTCATGATTAAGTGGTTCTTTGCATCATAAAAGCGTTCTTCAGATTGATGGAGCATGTGCTGTATATGGTTTTATATAGAACCTTCTTGAAACATAGAACCTTTTGAAAAGGTACCGATCTGCCATGACAGTCTGATGATGCTGCAGTTAATAATTAGCTTATCTTGCTGTGATTGGTTAATTTCCTGAGCAAACAGGTGGGTGAATATGCAGTGGGGTCCGTTCAGCAGTGCTGCTCATAAGGTAGCATAGCTACATCTTGAAATAGGTCAGGTCACTGGGGTGGAACCCTCAAGGGTTCATCTCAGTACCTTCAGTCAGGGAACATAACTGAACCATAATCCACTGAAATGATATGTTCTAAGCTGTACTGACTCCACACACCCCGTCTCGTCTCCAGGCTTTTATTTTACTGTTCTGTTTTAAAACATTCGGTTATGAAAAGGTACAAATACGAACTTTTCACCTGGAAAAACTTATTTAAGGTTCTCAATCAGACCTTAAAACCACTGTTGGAGCTTTGAGGGAACATTTACACTGTTTGTACCTTGATTAATGAAAGATGTACCTGAACAGAACCTTTATTTCTTTATTTATAGTGTAGTCAGAATGGAGTGGCCAGTGATTTTATTGGTGGCACACAGCTAAAAAAATGCCTTTACTGTATTAAAATGGCATAAAAAGTGATGCACTCTTTTCTTTTCTCTTTACTTACCAAAATCTGTCCATCATTTTTGGAATGTATATATAAACAAGTCGTAGAGAGGACTGATCATGACTGCTGTGTTTTAGTTGGTGTGTTTAATCTCTTTGTTTTAGGTATTTTACCAGAGCTTCTTTTAACTTAGTGTATGAGTTTTTTTGTGGGCGAAACACGTTTTGTTTAGTATTTAATCTGCAAACTTTTAACTTTGTTTTACAAGCTATTGTTTGTACCACAGGGCGGCACAGTGGGGCAGTGGGTAGCGCTGTTGCCTCACAGCAAGAAGGGCCTGGGTTGGTTTCCCCGGCCAGGTTACCAGGGTCCTTTCTGTGTGGAGTTTGCATGTTGTCCCCGTGTCTGTGTGGGTTTCCTCCCACAGTCCAAAGACACGCAGTCAAGCCGGCTGGATGTGCTAAACTGCCCCGAGGTGTGAGTGTGTGAATGTGTATGTCTGTCTGTTTGCCCTGCGAGGGACTGGCGACCTGTCCAGGGTGTATCCTGCCTTCCGCCCAATGATAGCTGGGCTAGGCTCCTGCAACCCAGAAGGATAAGCTGTTTAGATGATGTGTGTGTGTTTGTACCACCTGGGGCTTCAAACAGAAGTCCACTCTGTCTAGTTCCCGAGGTCAGAGGGCACTGCCATGTGTACTTTCAGTTACTGGTCAGGGAAGTGTAGAGTAGTTGGCTTCTGTTTCCTTTCTTTTAGCTTAGCTAAGTTTCATCATTCATCATTAGTGCCGTCCACAGTTTGACTCTTCCAGTGTGGTACTAGATATCATAGCACACCATTTTATTGTGGTTTGTTTTAATAAAAAGGCTTCAAAAGCTCTGCTGGCCTGTTCCTCCAACTTTTAGCCCATCATCACCAGTTCAGTATTTTAATGCCACATGTTACTGACCCCACAGCGCCCTAGACAAAACAAGGGGTCGTAACACATACCAGGGGCTTTTGGGTAAAAACCAAACATATTAGCTAACAAACTCATACAAATTCAGTACAAATGCAGTTTAAGTGCTAATTTGTTACAAAAAGAACACAAAGCAACGACATAATGATGAAACACACAGCAGTGCTACTGGAGTGTCCACTCACTGCCCACTCTATTAGACTTCATTCTGACCACCTCTGACCACCCCTTTGCTACGCCTCTGATGCTCGCCATTCAAACACAAGAGAATGAACATTTCTGAACAGAACTGCTCATTCCCAGGGCAGCTGAAAAATAAATAAATAAATAAATTAATGAATTAAAAAAATGAATCAATCAATCAGTGCTATGGTATATATTCAAAGGAGGTCCGCAGATAATCTGGATGTAGCTGGACAGGAATCAGTTCAACATGAAAAACTACAGCATTGGACAATTAATCAACAGTAAACAGACAGACATTGATGTTGGTGTGGTCATTTCTCTCTGTACTGGTTTGTACAGCCTTTGTGGTCTTTTTGTTGACTGCTGTATGCAGCAAGTTAATGAAGAATTGTTTTAAAAAAAGTTCATAAACAATGAGGGGTTGCTGATGGGGTCTTTCTTTATTGGCTTGTTCATTTGGTTGTGCTCCTGCTGTGTACACAGCTATATTTGGGTACTCAAAGGACCAATATTAATACATAAATGACAAATTAAATTACTAATATACTAAAAATTCAGTCCATCTTTTCTCAGAGGGGAGTTGTGTATTCTGAACTGCTAGGAATGAACTACTGAAGCAGCTGAAAGTGAGGCTGCAATTCGGAAATGTGCCACTAGAGGTGCACACTAACAGAGCTGAATACACCTGAACCAAACCATTAAGATCACTCTTAAAGGGGAACTCCACCAATTATTTTGAAATTTCTGCATAATTAAGTGGTTAAGATGTAAACAGAGTCGTTCTGAGTGGTTTGGTGTGAAATGCTCTGTTCTAGAGTCAGAACTGTTCACAGTGGTGGTGATAGGAACCAGACGTCCACCTCTAAAAGCTCCCTCACAGAAAGTTACTACAGTAAATGGTTATGAATTCACTGCCTGATGACTGAGACACTGTTTTATGATAGTTTTTGTCTAAAACGTGTTTTTAAAAAAGATGTTTATGGTGGAGGGATACACGCAGGATGTTATGAGGCAAAATAGTCCCCAAAGAAAAAAAATGTTATTTCAGATTTTCCACTGTGTTACATTGAATTCATTGAATTCTGGAGAAATTTTGAAAATTGATGTAATTCCCCTTTGAGTTCAGGTTCTACTGATAAAAAAAAAATATATATAAGAACCATCTGGTGGTCCCTGTTTTGATCTTGAGATTCACCCCCTTAAAACATGGTTACAACAGCTGTTAAAGAGGCGTTCCACCAATTTTTCAAAATTTCCACGATTCAACAAACTTAAGGACAGAGCGATTCAGAGTGGTTTGGTGTGAATTGGTTGATTGTAGAGACTCTTTACAGTGGTGGTGATAGGAACCAAGGGACGCCAAAACTATCACAAAACTATCGTAAAACAGTGTCTCAGTCATCAGGCAGTGAATTCATAACCATTTCCTGTAATAACTTTCCGTGAGGGAGCTTTTAGAGGTGGACGTCTGGTTCCTATCACCACCACTGTGAACCATTCTGACTCATTTCACACTAAACCACTCTGAATGACTTTGCCTACAAATTTTAAATAATCGGTGGAACTCCCCTTTAAAGCCAACAGAGATTAGGCAAACAAATGCACATCAGTATTTTCCCACACTCTGTTCCGCTAAACTGTCATCCTGGATCCTGAAGTGACCTAAATTATGTGAAATGTTATAAAGAAAACATTCCTAACTCAGAAAAGTGACTTGAGTCTGATTTTTATTTATAAAGCCAATCCCAACAATAAATTACACATTCATTTACAGCTTCTCTCCTCTGTAAATATCAGTTAATCTCAGCAAAATACTGTACAAGGAAAGAAAACAGTTAGTAAAAAAAAAAACAAAAGAAAACGAAAACAAAGAAGTCACAAAGTCCACCAGTTTATGGATACGCATGTGGATGTGGAGGCAGCATGAGGCGAGGTGGGTCAGGTGTGATTCTATGAAAAGGGCACAGTGAAGAGAGCAGTTTTGCACCTATACATCAGTCAGTCAACCCTACTGATCTGTCTTTACCTCGGGATTAAAGTTTTACCAGCATGAAGTCTCTCTGTCTTTATTCAGTGCCACCAAACAAGACCTTGTAGATGTTCTCCACCTGGAAACCACAGCGGTTCCTCCGCTCTCGATCCCACCCGAGCACATTAACATGCCGTTCGAGAGTTGACTCAGCTGTGGTAGAGCAGGGAAACTACTTGCATGCCAAAACCAGGTCCTTTTACTTTCGTTTCTGCGAGATGAACCAAGGTGTGGTGGGTGAGAACGTCAGCAGCCTCCGACACAGCGGTGATGGTGCATTTCCTGACAGATATTACAGTGCTTCAGTCATAATGCTGGGGGCCAGCGTCTGACGCCCAGTTAAAGCCTAGAACGAGTCAGAAAAGGCAGCTGTAACGGACCTACTTCCTTTGAATAGCCGTTGATCTGGCGTTAGGCCTAACCTGGGAGGTGACACTAGCCTTAAAAGGGGAATTCCACTGATTTTTCAAAATTTATGCATAATTAAGTGGTTGAGATGTGAAGTCATTCAGTGGTTTGGTGTGAAATCGTTCGTTGTAGAGAAAGTGAGTCAGACTT